ACACAAGGCGGTTTAAAAAATTTCATTTTTCAATTTTAATAGCAAATGGGAATCCCGATCCCCGATGCTTCTTCATCCTCTGCGCCTAGAAACACTGTATCCAAAACAGACCCGCGGTCTTTTAATTCAAAGTTTAAAGAGATGCAATACTTATCTTTTAGGAAAGGCAGTGAATTCCTGTGCAGGACCAAATATGAAAATACACTCCCGCCGCTCCCAATGCCCCTTTCTCTTTTTTGCTTTAGCGTCGACCCATCTAAATATGCATGCTACCAGGAAGGATCTTTCTCATCACTTGAGAACGCTTATAGGTATAAGGAAATTCAAGTTCCCATAAATGAGATACTGCCCCTTTCGTTGATCGACAAAAAATCACTCTCTATGGAGAAAACTCCTTCTGAAGTAGATTCAGAGGATCAGGAGCTTCTAAATTTGGGAGAAAAAACCAATTTCCCTCAAATACCATCATGTCTCCCTCACTCACAGTCGCAAACATCAAATGGCTCGATGGCAGAAAATCCTCAAAAATCATTTTCCTGGCTCAGAAAGCATGAACCTTGGCAAATAAAGTCCGAAGCAAGATCCTTGGCCGATAGGTACAATGCCGACTTATTTTGTAGTTCTCGTCTGAAAGAAGAGTTTTCTTCCCAGCCGATGTCCGTAGATAGAGCCGTTGCCATAATTGAGCAGACATTTTCGGCTGCAGAATGTGTTGATACGGTTCGGGAAACCCTGCGACACCCCCTGCATCCAAATCTTTCTGTAAAAAAGGTCTTTCCTATTTTTCCGGACCTGGCGTCCTGGCCTGACAGGTAATTTTCCCATTTTGATATGCAGATATGGTTTGTTTTTGTGCGATAGCTATCCATACAAGCCAGGTGACGTTGTGTGTTCACCATCGCAACCGTCTGTTTTAGAGCCACCGAAGGGATTTGCGCGTCCCTTAAATTTGRTATCTAACCCGAAGGAACGATTTTTTTACATGTATGCGCCGACGTCTTCTCATCCCGCCTCACAACAGTTCTGTGTCAATTTTGCAGAAAATCCAGGCCAGGTGGATCCCTCTCCCATGCCAACCACTGATCTTCCGCTTCCTTTTGTAAAGGACTTCTATTACCAGACAAGCATTGCTTCGACGCCCTCAACCCGGTCCACTTCAAATCTGTATTTGATATCAGTGTGTGATGATAAGGCACTTTACCATCCAATTCAAAGCAAACTGCTACTTAAATCTAGAAGAAACACCCTTAGTGCATCCAAACAAGACACTCTTCTTGCAGGGTCCAACACGGCGGGAATCATGTTGAGGAGACGGGAATTTTCGAATGACGAATTGGCAGCTCGAAATGAAAAAAACTCCAAACTGCTCCCAAAAAGCGTGATGGAAGAAGACGTTTATGAAAAATAAACATCCATTGATTTATTTCCGTGTTCTTTTTGCCAATAAATGTGCATAGATACATGTTTGTATATGCATGCACATGCATATGTATGTATATGTGACCTATTTTTTCGCAGAAGCACCGGACAAGGCGAATTCCCCTCGATATAGGGCTTTTGCAGCCAAGGCAGCCTTAGCCAAAGCAAAAACAGGGATCTACTTATTAGAATGGCCAGGATACAAAAACATATGCCCAAAGAATCGGCCTCCAGAATGGCTGTACTGACAAGGCAATCCAGCTGATGTAGATGCAATCGGCCAATAACCTAATCGTAAAAGACCAAGATACAAACTGGAACACAAAATTATTTGAATCTGAGATCGAGGTTGCGGCTGTCAAACGGCCATTTTTGTCTGCAACCGGTCTTGACATGTACCAAAGGCATAGCAAAGCTGCGAATAAGATGCAGATAACAAAGATATTTGGATATGCCGATCGAAAAAATGAAATCAGAAATGACAGCATCTATGCAGGATAACATATTGTCAAAATACACTTATGAAGAAGGAGCCAACAAAGTAAAAGTTCAAAGCAGCTCGATTTTCAAGTCCTACCCTTTTTGATGCAGCATTGGCCTACGATAAATTTACCAATCTGTACCATTGATAAGCAGATATAAAATTTACAAAATTTGAATTTTATTACATTATGATACACTCAAGTAATGAGTCTCCTCACATCAAGAAGGCCCGATCATGAATAAGTAGAGGAGCTTTCTGTAATGGTATTAGCTGCACTTGCAGAAGAACAAAAAAGATTGTCTAGATCTCCAAGCAGTGACTCTTCTATTTTACCTATGGCCTCGTCATCAACAATCGATGTCATGAAGTTCAAGTGATGGTGTTGGTGTTGGTGATGATCATTGATGCTGTTGCCGTTAGAGATATTTGGAGTTTGGAATGAAATTCCCGGAGCTGTACTTGAACAAGAAGGTTCCTGTACACTTGACGACTGAAATTGGGCTTCTTCGCCTCCTTGACAAGTGCCAGAAAGAGATACCGAGGACGAATGCGGAAATATATCGATAAGGGAAGAACTTTCGGAAGTACCCGTTGGATGGGGAGTTAATATATTCTGAGTATTGTCAATAAAAATCATATCCTCCGCAGAACCTGCTATTCTGTTAGGTTGTTGGTCAGCACTGCTAGTGTCTTTACTAGTGATGGCCGATTGGGTTGAACAATTTCCCAAATTATTGGCTCTTACGTTGCCATTTCCATTTTGCCGAGAGGGAAAAGTTTGGAGTTGGCCGCTGCTCAAGTGAGCAAAAGGGTGAGCAATCCTGGAAGAATTCTGAGGTTGGTAATGCGGATGGAGATGTGATTGCTGTTGAGGTTGCAAAAATGGTACATGAAATGGGGGTTGAGCCTGAGAAGGGATAGGTAGCCCATTTTGAGGAACTTGATTCATTGAAATTTTACGAATTTGCTGCATATCGTTTGAAGGAGAAGACTGTAAATTGGTCGCAAAGTGCTGAGAGAAATACTGAGACTGTTGATTTTGCTGGTGTTGTTGAAACCATCGTTGTTGCTGTTGATATAACATGGCTTGATGCTGCTGGTGCTGGATGTGTAGCATTTGCTGCTGCTGCTGTTGACGCTGTTGCTTCTGTTGCTTCTGTTGCTGCTGCTGTTGTTGGAAATTTAAAGAATTTAATTGCCCTTGAGTAGGATGCATTGGGTATCCAGATGGATGGGCTTGAAAAGGATGTGAAGGTTGGGGATGATGGCGCACCTGATTATTCTGTTTTTCCGGCATACCAGCATATGTATGCTGTTGGATATTACAAGATGTTCCCTGCTGAGAGGATGAAACTATCGGTGAAGTTGAAGGCAGCGGAGGTGTTTGAATAAATGGTTTCGTAAGATACTGGCCCTGTGGATGGGCTGGTGCCATCTTTCCTTGTGTTTGAAGAGTGGCCCTCTGCCTAAACATAGGGTTGGCACCTGCAACAGAGGAAAATCCGATCAAAGACCTATAAATTAATTAGAAACATGCACCACAGTACCTATCAATTGAAGATACAGATTGCAATTCCTTTGAAGGCGATTGTGAAGACGTGCTATTATATGTTTCGCAAGATGATATGTTGGATGCGGAATTAACGCCTGAAGGTTTAGAAGTCTCTAATGAACAGGATTCGACTTTAATTTTCTTCAAAGAAGAGTCTAAAACTGGGCTTGAGAGTGATGCGTTTTCAAAAGAACTTGCTTTTTGCGGCGAATATGCGGTGTAAAACTGCTGTTGCAGCTGACTCAGCCAAATATGCTATTTTGTTAGCAAAAATGATAAAAACCTTTTCTTCCAAATTCAATGAATCTAATCCAGCAGGCTTTTGTTTAGCATTGCTAAAATCTGGAAGCGGAATTGACGGCACAGAGGAAGAGCCAGATAAAGGAGATTGTCTTGAGCAGGAATCCACAGATGTCAATGGGCCTTGGTCAAAACTACCTTTTGCCTCAGGAGAAGATAGCCTTTTACCAGCCAATTGTACAGTTCTTTGTATCACAGGCTGAATAGAAGAAGGCATATTGTTGCCAATTGCCGATTGAAAGCTTTTAGAAACTAGAAATTAAATTTTCATGGAATCTGACCTCCTGGACTCGATGAAGTGGAAGGTGTCGATATTTTAGATAAATAGACATCCCAAAAAACATCCCACCACTCCTTTATAAAGCTATTGTCGGTATTTCCAATCAAAGACACGTCGGAAAGCTTCAAGCCAGACTCTGAAAGCAGAGATTGAGCGGTCAATGGGAGTGATTTTTTCATCAGATAATTATATATGTGCATTAACAAACTAAAAGTTAAATCTATCAAGTACTGCTGCTCCGAGGTGTCAATCGAAGAAAGCAAGGCATCATGGTTTTTTGATGGTGAATAGCCTGGCTCGCTTGCATTGGGGGGGAAGTCATAGCAACCCGGGCTGGACTGTGGCGTTGCAGGGTTGATGAGATTTGGATTGGCCTGTTTTTCGACCTCAGGCTTGATAATATTATCAACCAGATTAGAAGCTGGCAAAACTTCATATCTGTCAAAGATGGGAGATCCTAGCTCCTTATCGGACAAGATCGCTTCCTGCATAAAATTCGGGTTAACAGACATGCCCTTAAGGGTATTAGATGTTAGTAAAAAATAAAGTCGAATATCAACGGCTGATAGAGGCAAAGGTAAAAATACTATACTGCTATTGAAAAGATCTACGTAAATCAGGCTTCTGAACTCAAACTATTGCACTGCGATTCAAATTTTATTTTTGTAAGTGATTTTAAAGTTTTGAAATTGAATTCGGGATTTGAAAATCCATTCACACATAACCCTAACCCTTTTTTGAATATCGCATTTCGCTGGCTGCCTATTGGCATCGGCTTGACACCATCAAGGAACCTGTACATTGTGGTCAATATGAAGGGTTTACAAAATCATAAGCGTTTATTAAATTAATCGGCAATCGGCTCTAATATGGCATCGAAATCGAACACCTCCGTTTTCAGTAAATCGGGCTGCGCATTTCTTACTAGCGATCGTAATCCAGAGAGCACGGCAAAAACATCCTTCGAAGCATAATTAATTTCTTCAAGATTTAGCTCATAATCCCAATTCCGCTTCAGGTGCGCCTTCCAAGACAATTTGGAATCGATCGGCTTTTCGCGATAAACGGGAAGAGAAAAAACCCTGGAAAATTTGGAAATTGAGGCTGGGAGTTTTAAGGCCTCCAGCAGAGATTGGAGATCAAATACATTTGAAATTTTTAACGAAGCGAATTTGCTCTCCAGCTCCTTGGAGTCTTGAATGGCCCCGACACCGACCTTTATAATGGTGTTTGATGACAGAAGCTCTCTCAAGGGTTCTGGAAAGCCTGCTTTGCAGGGACCTGCCCGATTCATCATTCTATAAATCTGGAAAATAAAGCAATGTTTAAAAGTCGCTAGCTGGATAACGGATGGGATCCCGATAAGCTTCTTTCTGGTCACCGTTGTTTCGGTGTCGAACGACAGGATGTTTCCCGTTGATTGCCTCAACAAGGAGCATGCTTTTTCGACGTCGTCGTATTTGTGTATAATTGCCACGTGAGGGCAGTGTCTGGCAGGTGTAGAAAAGCCGCTACGATTGGCTCTTATAAACAGCGAAGCATTATTGCAAGGGTTGCCACGTGTGCCCCCACCGCCCATAAATTAATTTTTATTGAAGAAAATTATGTTTATTACACGAAATTAATTAGGTTGTATTGTCGCCTTTCACAAGGGCACTTTTCCATAGCCTGAATTTATGCTTTGCCTCTGAAAGCGAAACATAGCCACTTCCCGAGTTTGAAGTGGTTATTTCCTCCATAAATGGCAACGAAGACGGAAACAGGGTTTCCGAATTTCGCATCGAATCTTCAAACAGAGATGTCGTGCTTTTACTGAGGTCTTCGTTGCTATTTCCCTGGTAAGAAGAAAAATGCCTACAAAGGGAAGAACGTGTTAGGAAAGATGCGCGCAAGTAAAAGATGCCATTCTTGAAAACTAAAGGCAAAGAACAAGCACTGGGCGTCATCAAAACTAAAATTAAACTTGGCCGAACATTAATTTTAATTCGTCCACAGAAATGAACTGGTTAATTCCAATCTCTTCAATGTGTTCTGTGATGATACGAATAATATCGATGCAATCGGATGGGGAAAAGTTTTTCGAAACATGCTCAAGTATAAAGACAACAAGATCTTTTGAGGCTGGCTCCGAATTTAATGCCAATATTGTGCAGTTTTTAACATCTCCAATGGTAGTTAGTGAAAGTAGAGCAAGTTTCCATAATTCTACGCTTGAACTAAAAATTAATTTCACAAAAGTACCCGTTGATGGCAGCCATATTGATAAGTATCTTATAAAATGTTTGGGCTGAAATCACATGGGGATATTGCGCTGAGCACAACAGTAAATTGGTCATCACAAAAGTTGTAGCACCAGAGGATAAGATGCGCTTCATGCCAGCACTGTCGTCACTTGATGATAAAAGCCCTTGAAAGGTTTTTAGGGGAATATCTCCAAGAAAGGAATATTGAGGATGTCTAAGGTTATGGCAAGATATATATTGGCTCCAAAGATACACGTTCCATGGAACCAATTTCAATAGTTCGAGAAGAATTGACGAATAAGTCGCCAGATTGAAAATTCTATTGCCAAGCTCATCATTATAGATGTTGAAAAAGGTGGCTTCCGTACTTACTATCATTTCAAGAAAATTTTTACACTTATCGAGACAGATAGTTTCCGTAAGATGTTTGCAAAAAGAAGGATATTCTTCCCAGAAGAGTATGTCCTTACACGAGGCAACAAGATATGAATATACAACAAAAGCATTGTATGCACCGTGTTCAGATATCGTATGCAACAATATGAATTTTTTGATTTTCTCAATCAAATCACCGATCGAGGATTCTGAATAAATCCAGCAAAAATTATCTAGAATCACAATGAGGGAAATAAAATACCTAATATCGAATTCAAAAAGGAAGCATTTGCAAGCTCGCCTATGCAGTGAGCCTTTTTGATTTTGATTGACAAAA